TCGGAATTTCAGTTAATTCCGAGCCAAGTCAGTCTAATATAGCAATGTCAGTTCCAGTCTGGATTTAATATCAGTTAAAATAGAACCTTAGACTGTTCTAGCTAATCCGGTTAAGTTATTAGTTAGAGTCGAGCATTTTAACGTCTATTTTAGTATGTCTGAGCGTAGTACTTAGTATTTGTTTATTTATATATATATTTTTACAATTTGAGCAGTCACCAGACCAATCAGCACTTTTTGAAACGAGCAGTACAGGTGGAGACCCTGACTGGTTATTACATTGAGTATAATTACAGATATCATGTTCGAGGTATGTATATTTACAGTATCTGCTTAATGTGATGGCCCCAGTTCGCCTTAATATTACATCCTAAGTTCTTGTGGTGGCCCTAGTTCGCCTTAATATTCCACTAGAGCGTGCACATGGTTACCGGCGCAGAATTGCCGGGAGATTTCAGTACAGTTTAAGTTTCAGTTACAGTATCAGTTTCAGATTATAAATACTGTCAATCATGATATTGTTATTATTATTGTTGTTTACTTTAGTATGAGTTTCTTCGGAGCACAGTGGCCTTTCGTGCTCACGCCCCACTCTTTTTTCTTTTTTCAGATAACAGGGTCGGGCCGGAGGTGTGAGCTCAGCTTGGTGGTTGTGGTCGTGGCCTCGGCCAGATGCCGTTTGGTGGATTCTTGTATATATATTTTGCCACGTTTTATTTTTCGTTGATATTTACAGTTTTCGAACTTGCATGTCAGTTTTCAAATTTTGGTATGATTCCCTAATCAGATATTGTTTAGTTTCACATGCTAGTTCGATTAATATATATAATCTATTTTTCTTTATGTCTAAATCAGTAATTGGACCCTGTTAAAGAAAAACGGTTTTCAGAACAAAAAAGTTTTAGTAGCATCCCGAGTTATGATTTCGCAGATGTATAAGTTTTTATTAGAAAGATTTTGCAAAAAAATGACTCTGATACTAGTAAGATAGCGGGGTGTTGCAGAATTTGAACTACTGTACTAGGAGTATGAGATTCAAGGTTCAGACTCCAATCAAACTGAATCGAAAAATTTCTTCGTTTTCGTTTTCACTTTCCCAAATCCCCCTTGTCTTCCTCTGCACGAAACAAGAATAAAAATCAAATCTTGATTTCACAAAAGAAAACTAAAAAAAAAAAGAAAAAAATGGTGATGGGCCCCACCGTAAAGTTAATCCTGGGCTCGTCGGCTATTGTCGTGTTCTGGGTTCTCAACGGTCGCTTGGAAGGAAGTTTGTAAAACTAAAGAAGAGGGAAGCCTGGGCATAAAAGATATGCGTCAAATGAATCACGCCCTGTTTTCCCGGCCGTCCCTTTCCTTCCGGTGGGCCGCACGGCCGGTTTCCTCCTCGGCGCCATGCTTAAGGTTCCCAAATTCCCATTTCCTTTTTTTTAAAAAAAAAAAAATTGTTTAGTGAATTTTTTCCACATGTTTTTCACACGTGGAATTTAAAGCATTTTTTTTTCTTTGATTTTTAATATTATTTTGTTCTATGTGTCCAAGCACTTGGGCGCATCTCGTGCCACATCACGTCGGGAATCAAAATTACGATTTGACTGGGCACCACGTCAGCTTTTTTGACGAAAATGAGCACTGAAATGTCGATTTGGACTAAAATTACCAAAAAATAAATATTTAGTGTACCAATAGTAAACCGGAAACAATTAAAGACGAAAGTACAACGAGTGTATAGTTAGTGAACGAATAGTGCAATTTTTCCTACCCTATTTATAACAAATACAGAAGAAAAAATATATTTTTATAAACTGCATATTATGTTATATTTGTTCTTGTGAATCGCTATTTACCGCCCCCCTTTTACTAATCACCGCCCCCCAATTACGTTTTTGCCCTTCACACTATCTCTCTACTTTCTCTCTCTACTCTTTCCTCCTCGACTTTTCACAGCTCTTTTGACCGTCAAAAAAATGTCGAAAAAATCCGAA